GTTCCTCTCAACCGCTTTGCGACTCTTCATCCTCCGTCAGTTGTCGCATACGGAACGAGCCCAATCTGGAATAATCTCATAGTGGGTAATATTGAACATTTAAGACGAATAGGGGCCTTACTCTTTAAAAGAGCCTCGGGATTGCACCGGACAACGCGTAGGAGGCTTATCTGCTTCTTGGTAATAAACACCACTGTTTCCCAAGAACCTCCGTCGCCGTTTCAAGCTATCGTTAACCTCAGCACTTCGTGAAAGCCAGATAAAATGCGAAAAAGTTCGCGGAGGTCGATCCTAAACTCTATCAAACAAGGGCCATAACGGACGGGATTTGGAAGGTCTTGATAAAAACTGGTCTAAGAGACATATAACGACACGTTGTGCGGGGCACGGTTTTCAGTATCGTTTACGCAGAATACCGGAGCTTTATGAACCCGATAGTATTGTGTTTGTATTAAATAGAGACCTTAAGATCCATATCTTGCCTTTCGCTGCCCGCAAGCTTAATCGCTGGGTGACCTATCTCGGTAATTAAATGAAAGATGGCAGTAACACGGTGTATAGTGCAATCATTGGTAAGCCCTGAGTAATCGCGTGAACCCCAGTTTAGGTACCGTCCTATGACATTGGTATTAGGCAGGCTTGTGAACATTATGATAAGAAATGGGCATGGCTATGTATGTGTACGGTAGCATACAACGTATAAAGTAGCAAGTTGTTATAAATTTATATGTTTTATTATGTTATTTATTTATATGAGTGTTTAGAATGCTATTTGACAAAAGTGAATAAATAAGATTGGTTGGCTGATTAAAATCGAAAGAATTGGCACCACTGCTATTTTATTAGACAAAGCAAAGCTGTATTTTCTGCTAATTATCAATTAGCGAGTTTTGCAGTCTATGACTTCATATGTTTGTCCAATAATATTCTAAAAAAGCTCCTTTATAGGGTGGATATACACACACTTGTATTCCACCGAATTAGCGTTCCGGTCCTCTGATTTGATTCTTTCCTCTATCTGGGTCTATTGCCGGGTCGATATCAATCCACGAACTGAAAGTTTTATGAAGTTGAAGTTGAACTATTCATTCATTCAGAGTTACGCAAGAGGAATTAAGTCATACAAGAGATGCTTTGGAAAATATTTCGGCTAACATTGTTTTCACGTGTGATGCAACTTAGACGCCTTGATCTGCGTTAACGTAAAAATAAAAATACACCCAGAAACTCACTTCTGTTTTCCATTTCAGGGGCACTGGAACAGAATAGAAAGTTTTAATTCTTTATTTAGCAAGAGGCACATAACCACACAAAAGGTGTTATACCTAAACAATTGTAACAGGATAGATATTTTTTACGTTGCATTCCTTACGGACCAAAATAAGCAGTTTAAAATTAGCTTACTAATATAAATAACAAGCTATTTAGACCTTTTCTGACTATTCTGAAACTAAGTTCAAATAACTCATGCTTTTGAAATGGTTTACCTCGCCTTCAGCTAAAAGAGAGCCGACAAAGTGGATAATTTGTGCAAACGAACAAATAAATTATACAACGGTCGAAATTTTTTTTGGTTCATAGAGTACTAACATCTCTCGTGCTGGAATTACTGTTGATAGCATTTTTTGAAGATGCACTGATTTTGTGAAGACTGTTCTTACACAATGACATTGTCAGAGAATAAGTTACCATGCTATCGTGTAATAGACTGCTGCTGCTGCTGCTCACGAACGCTTAAACTGCTTTCCGGTAGTGTGCATGTTTCGCCTAACCCTTTATTCAGCGTCAATACCCCCGCAAGCAATGATGCTTGTGACATGGTGGGCCACGGATTTATCTACATTACGCATAGGGAGTGTAATACAAACCGCGATATTGTATAACGAAAGTACACAGGACATTCTCCTCGTTTCACGCTGGTCTACTTTGCTTTCTTTGTCTTACCCTAAAAAGTCTTCTTTTTAAAATTCGTATCGTTAATTCTCTTTGACTATCGACGTTTTAAGCGACTTCGTTTACCAAAAGCCTACTAACTGGCGATAATCGATTAAACTTTCTTCATCGAAAACTGGCCAAATTAAAAATGGCAGCCACATGACGCGGCTGTGGAAAGTGAGTTCATACTTAAAGTGGGACAGAAAGGGAGAGGGAGAGAGAGGGACTTCCAGCGGCGCCAACTTAAAATGCAATATAATAAAGCGTCCTTTCCAAATAAGTTTTTTTTTATTTTGAAAAGTTTAGTGGTGACTATTCTGTATCGTTAATAGGCAACAGTCAGAATAATATTGGTTCGTCGAGCAAGTTGAAGCCTTCTAACGAATATATATATATATATATATATATATTAAATGTGTCTATAACAATGAAGCGTTTGAGCATCTGCGTTTACTATTCTTTTCTTACTAAAGAGGCAGACAAACAGTGTGGGTATTTTCTCCAGTTTGTTAAACGTCATGCAATAAACCGCTAAGCTAAAGTAAATACCTACACGCTTTTTACATCTATTCGTTGTTCTATTTTCTATTTTTAAGCGTTGTTTAAGCAAAAAAAACCGCAAACATATTTAAGCCTTTACTGTTCATGACAAAGAGTCATGCAGATTGTACGCTTTGTCACCAAATACTTATATGACATTATAAGATAGTTAGACAATTATGTCTGACAAAAAGCTAAAAAAAGATCGATTTATGATGGTTTCCCAATCGCGCATACGGATTTTCCGACATCCGTACATTAGCCAAAAAACCTCGGTTCAACTGTGCATAAAAGTATGCGTGTTTCCTAACAAACAGTTCCAAAGTTCGATAGTTGAAGACTGCGCAAGGACCTATTTTTCGGATGCATCGCACTTTGAGATTTTGGGTGGCAACGATTAATATGTCCATAAATGTTACGACAGAAGATTCGATCTGCTCTTTGTAATTCAGAAGGTCAAGTGTCCGAGCAAAATGATGGTGTGGGCTGTAATTTTCATCTATGGCGAGGAACTTCTACAGCATCAGCGACATTATGGAAAAACAACAATATAGTAAGGTACTTCAGTGAAGTATTTTTCTATGACGTGGAAATTCATTGAGCTTGAATCCGACTGAAATGTGTGGCATTATATCAAATAGCGAGTCAGGAGTGGGCACGAATATCTCACAACTCAAAAACACAGTGCTCCAAGTATACGCCCCGGACCCGGGCGTGACGGAAATGGTGCAAGAGTTCATGTGGAGTATACCGAACCGAGTTGCACGAGTTGCCGCAGCCAGGAATGGAGGACCAAATACAGGCCTCAGTGATACGGTCTTTCTCCGTAATTTAAAATGTTTCTCAGCTTTTCTGTAAAGCTGCACGCAAATATTTAGTGTGCGTTTAGAGCTATCTGCGGTCAAACTAAGAAATGCGGAAAATTTTTAGGTGGCTTTATTTGATTGGCCAGCGGTTCACGCTCTCTCTCTCTCTCTCTCGCTCTGTATATATATATATATGTATACATATCCAGTGTGAGAGAGATGAGTTTTGCACACTAGTCTTAATCCAAGGTCTTTGATATATGGGAGTACTCAAGCTGTTGTTCGCTCTTAAACATTTTAGACGGGTGTTTCCATTGACTGAGAGATAGTTACGATGCTAAATTTTACTAGGTGACTAACTGAAATTTGTTTTGAAATATGTAGATTTATTCACAACAAAAATCGTAATTGAAGTTTGAAGCTTGACCTGAGTGCCAGCCTAAATTTCCGCATGAAGTAGACAACAATGAAATTGGTAATTACAGGATGCACAAGAATTTGAAAAGCTAAGCCGTAATGCGCAATATGCGTTATGGACAACGCTGACGCATTGTATTTAGATCCGTCTAACGACACGTTTTATGTATGTGATTACAATTGAACTTGAAGGACCCAGAACTATCAAGCCCGATTTCGGTTTAAAAAGTCTTTTGTACGAATTTATTTAAAAATATACAGTTGCTACGCTCCACATTTTTAACCGGCGATTGTGAAAAGAGAATCATTTTGAAGACTCAAGGTTAGGTTGCTATAGGAAGCTTAATATAATGGAAAAGCGTTTGCGTCTTTCGTCATACTTATGGCGATAGTTTTATTGTGTGTTTACGTTGTTTTCTAGTCCTATGGCAAAAGCTTAAAGGCAATCATAGTCTAAGAAAATGAAGTACCTATATATGAGGCAAACATCCTCCAAAGCCTTATAAATGGGCTAAGTTCACTTTTTAAGCAAATACGTAAGCACGTCAACTGACGATGGTCACAGGAACAACTTATCTTAATGCGTTTATACTATATCTAGTAATAAAGAGTATCTTGTTACGAATTCCTTATTTTTAATATGTATATATAATAAGCCTTGTATTTTCTTTGTTAGTTTCGATGTTAAAGAAGCTCATAAACACGTTATATATAGGCATCAGGGTCTCTAAAACTAATAGTAATCGGGATTACTTAAAATTTGAATCCCAAATTCAAGACAATATGTTTATTTCTGACCAAATTGTATGATTCTATCTGCAATCGTTCTGTAAATGTGCACAATATTACTTAATTGTTCTAAAAGGTATGACAAGTCAGCAGCAAGTTATAATTTAAGACATGGCAGCTTCGGCGACGATTGTTTTTCACGATATTCACGGAAATTAGTTTTTAAAAGTACATTGTTATCATATGAGCTATACAAAGATGCGAGGTCTATAACGCAAAGTGCGACACATCGCATTCCTGCCGATGCTGTCACTATTAGCGCGTTGGATTGTTTTCTGTCCATCTTTATTCTACTTGTATCTGGACGCCCGCTGTATATCCCTCTCCGAGGAGGCGTTCTGCCTTGCCCCCATGCAGCATTTTAGAAGGGGCGAAGGATTGGATAAACCAACGCAAATACGGTAGCGGCTGCTTGTCTGCCTCCGCCGTTGTATATTCGGGTTGCCGGCTCACACGCGTACTTGCCTACGTATCTTATAAAAGAGCAGCGTCAATAAGATTAAAGTTCATTTGAGTCTGTGGCGATGCCAGTGTGTGGTGTCGTCATAGACAATATTTCAAAATCAGCGCAGATCACCAGCGGAGCATGGTGATCATGAATTTACGAAATACGCCTTTCGTATGGACGGCGTTACTAATCGTGTTTGCAACTGTGTCCACTGACTCTGTTGAGGGTCAGTATGCTCGGCCGACATTTGATGATGACGATGATTTTGGATATGTGCCTCCTGCAGCTCCATCGGCTAAGCCAGGAACTGTTACTGTACAGCTACCTGCTTTAGCACCTCAGCCCCAGGTAACGTTCCAGCCTGCGCCCAGACCTATGTCTATTCCTGCGTCTGCTCCCCAACCCGTTTGTGGACCCGGCGGAGTCAGTAAACAAGGTGGAATAGGTGATGTTGCTCATTGTGCTCCTATTCCCGCCCCTCCTACACTCAGGGCACCTCCCAGACCTCCTCCATCAGCTTCTGCGCCTGCTAACGTGCCCCCTCCTTTAGCACCTAAGCCCGTCTCCGCACCAGCTCCACGTCCTAACTTGGTAACTCCTTGCAGACCAGGTGAATATCGAGGTTTAGAGACCACTGATACTAGTTGTGGTCCTCTCTTTACTCCTGTTCGGTCTGTGCTCGCACCCCATCCATCTCCCCCTTTACAAGTGTCTCAACCTACCCCGGCTTACGGGCCTCCACCGACGCCTAAACCCATCCCAGCCGTCAGGCCCATTGCACCAGCTCCTGTACCGGCTTCCCGTCCTGTGCTGGCTCCCCGTCCTCCACAGGCCCCCCGTCCTGCACAGGCTCCCCGTCCTGCACCGGCTCTCCGTCCTGCGCTAGCTCCCCGTCCTGCGCCGGCCCCCCGTCCTGCGCCGGCTCCCCGTCCTGCGCCGGCTCCCCGTCCTGCGCCGGCTCCCCGTCCTGCGCCGGCTCCCCGTCCTGCGCCAGCTCCCCGTCCTGCGCCGGCTCTCCGTCCTGCGCCGGCTCCCCGTCCTGTGCCGGCTCCCCGTCCTGCGCCGGCTCCCCGTCCTGCGCCGGCTCCCCGTCCTGCCTCCCTAAAACCCATTGGTGGTGGCGGTTATGGAAACGATCTTGAAGATTTTGAGGTTGGCGTATCCCGTGATCAACAAAAAGATCAATTTGGTCCAAAAGCAGTAAGCCACTTTGGAGGAGCAACAACCGCTAGACCACCACTTCGCCCTGTTTGTGGACCGGGAGGATATGGTGGTCCTGGTTGCACACCTACTCCCAGGACACAACCACCTCCTGCTTTTAGGCCAGTTCCATTACCTGCCCCCAAGCCAGCCCCATTACCTGCCCCTAAACCAGCGCCACCCTCTGCTCCCAGGCCAGCACCACCTCTTGCCCCCAGGCCAGCGCCACCTCTTTCCCCCAGGCCAGTGCCACCTCTTGCCCCCAGGCCAGTGCCACCTCTTGCCCCCAGGCCAGGCCACCTCTTGCCCCCAGGCCAGCGCCAGCTCCTGCTCCCAGGCCAGCGCCAGCTCCTGCTCCCAGGCCAGCGCCACCTCTTGCCCCCAGGCCAGCGCCACCTCCTGCCCCCAGGCCAGCGCCACCTCTTGCCCCCAGGCCAGCGCCAGCTCCTGCTCCCAGGCCAGCGCCACCTCTTGCCCCTAGACCAGCGTTACCTGGCGCGCCCAGGCCAGCGCCACCTCTTGCCCCTAGACCAGCATTACCTGGCGCGCCCAGGCCACCACCTCTACCTGCCTGTGGACTTGGAGGATACGGTGGTCCTGGTTGTATACCTGCTCCCAGGCCAGCGCCACCTCCTGCTCCCAGGCCAGCGCCACCTCCTGCTCCCAGGCCAGCGCCACCTCCTGCTCCCAGGCCAGCGCCACCTCCTGCTCCCAGGCCAGCGCCACCTCCTGCTCCCAGGCCAGCGCCACCTCCTGCTCCCAGGCCAGCGCCACCTCCTGCTCCCAGGCCAGCGCCACCTCCTGCTCCCAGGCCAGCGCCACCTCCTGCCCTCAGGCCAGCGCTACCTCCTGCTGCCAGGCCACTACTACCTCCTACCACTAGGCCAGCGCTACCTCCCGCCCCCAGGCCAACATCATTTTCTGTTCCCAGACCAATGTTACCTTCTGCTCCTAGGCCAGCGCCACCTCCTGCTTTCAGACCAGCACCACCTCCTGCCCTTAGGCCAGGATCGCCTCCTGCTCCCAGGACAGCATCACCTACTGCTCCCAGGCCAACATCACCTCCTGCTTTTAGGCCAGCGCCACCTTCAGCCCCTAGGCCAGTGCCACCTTTTGTCCCCAAACAAGCGCCATCTTTGTCCCCCAAGCCAGCGCCGCCCGCTGCTCCCAAGCCAGTGCCACCTCCTGCCCGCGCACCACTACCACCGCTTGCTCCCAGACCGGTACCGCCACTCGCCCCAAGGCCAGCTCTACCTCCTGCACTCAGGCCAGCTTCACAACCTTCTTGCGGTCCTGCAGGATTTGGGGGGGTCGGAGGCTCTAAAGGAACTGACGGAGCAGGCTGTGTTCCAACTGATAAACCAGGAGCCCCACGACCAATCGCCCCAGCTTCTCGGCCCATTGCGCCCCGCCCTGCACCCCGACCACTTGCTCCACAAAGAGGAGGCGGCAGCTATGCTAATACTTTCGATGATTTTGAGGAGTAATAATTGACTGTAGACACATTACAACGGACAGATTAAAAACTAGACAGTGAAATAGTACTTAAGTTCCTCGGGACCCAAGTATATCCCCCTATAAGTGCTCGGTTGTGATGTTATAGTTACACTGCTAATTTGTCGAACGCCAAATAGAACAATCACAAGTTCAGACATAACATAAGCACCATCCGAAACACATAGCCTATTGTAAATTACTGATCCATAGTGTAGATCGATCGAATCATTAAGTTAATGCACAGTTCACACATATCACTAGCACAAGATTTTCCAAGTTTACTTTTGTTAAAAGAAGTCAGAATCCATCAGTGAAAGTACGCCATCAAAAACATCGCAAAACGAACATGAATCCGGTAATAAACCGTCGATTATGACGTCAAATCTCACATGCTCCATAGGTCACTTTAGTATCTTAATTCGAGTTATATCTTTTAAGTGACTAAACTTATTAATAAACGACACAGATAAAACTGATATTACAAATTTCCGTGTAAACTACGTTACGTCTTAGTCGTAAAACTTTTATATTATGTTCCTCTTCAGCTACGTAATATATTAGTAGCAACTAGAGTTAAACACAGGAAAGAAAAACACGTTATGGGAAACCAGCATATGATAAAACGAGTTGGAGACAAAAAAGACGGGTTCCTGATCAAAGGACTCATGAACACTTGGCCACAGGTACGGAAGTCTTGTGTTAGCGAGGTCGCGTAGCATTTCGATCGACTGAGTCAAGCAAACACAGCTGCATAGATGTTAAAAAATCAATTCTTTAAATCCGGAGCCAAAGAAAGCACTTCCCGCTATTTTTCTGGCCCATCGTCAACCATCGTTTCTTCCTTCTTTCGTTGTAAAGCATAGCTACAGTACCCACCTCTTTATAGTTAAAGTTAAAAATGTATTACATAACTTATAATGTTTTACATAATTTTCAAACATAAGGACAGTCATCGCAAAGTTTGCACGTAACCACCCGTAAACATTTTAAAAGAATATAAAAATAATGGCTTGAAGTATAAATATAAATGCTAAACGTCAGCTCAGCTGAAACGGGGGACTTAACATTAACAAGCACAACACCTTAAGATTATAGAATATGTGAAATTCACGACGTTTTGTACATAAATATAGGAGAAGTTGTCTCGAACTAAATATCCCGATTTGAACAGCACTACTGCCCTTTTAAGACATGACTCGACCTTCGTCGATTGAAAAAATATCTTCGCTGGTTTGCTTAATTTGCTTAACAGATATTACAGTTTACAGATCTCAGGCTAGCCCACCTCTCCTGCTGGTTTCTATATGCACGTACAATTTTTTTTTTATATATCTTTTAACTATGTGACAGTTCCTTTGAATGTATTACGTTTGTGCAATTTCTAATAACTTGCACTAGTGCAATAACTAAAAGCTTACGTGCAACTGAAGATCGACATTGAAATATATTAAGCAGAGAGCAGATGTTGCACCAGCGGAGCTGTGATAACCACAGCAAGGTAGATTTTACCAAAACAGAGTGAATCTATTTCTCTTCGTTTGTCATGTACGCTACAAATTATACCCCTTTCCAGTATTTTAGATTAGAGCACAACAAACCTCCTGGCGCCTATTCTGACTATATACGTCGTTTTATTCGCTTTCTATAATTGTTATCACGCTAAACTTCTGTAAGCACGAACAAATTCATTCTTTTTTGCATTTCTTTTTAGATATCTTACTATTGTCTATTAATTTCAACAGGATGAACAGGCCAGACCTGTCGACATTCAGTCGCCCGCCGGAGTAGTCGTTCCCATAGCGTCGGTACATCCGACTGAATTCTCTACCGCTGCGTTAAAGCCTACCTCACCTCCAACATCGACCATTCGTTCTCAAAGGCGACGCAAGAAAAAAAAACCTCAAGTAGATGTAGCTACACTATTACTTGACCATGACGGGCTTACTGAACGGGTTCCGCTGATTACAATTGATCAGCAGGTAGTACAACCACGAGACGACGTAAATCCGGTTATTCTGTCACCTGACGACAATACTGGATTATCACAAACATACCAAGTACCAACATCGCCCGCGATACCCGCAAGAGAGCCTACTATTTCGGCAACACCTATCGCTGTTGTTCCATCTACGTCTGCAAAAATTTTCCCTGATAAGCTTAATATTGTCTCTGACGCTCCTCCTGGAGTAGGTCCAACAATCCCCGAAAAACCTCTTTCTGGCCTAAATACTTCCGATGTAAAAATTGGGTTAACCCATGCTGAATTAATTGCAGCAGAGCCCCTAGATCTTTCTCCTGTGCCTCCACCTCTGCATCCATCCACTGTCCCGGTAGAGCTATCGACGACGACTCCAGGTGCAGCAACACTTTCAGTTAAAGATGAATTTGGTGGACCCACGACGGCCACTCGGATTGAGCCCTTCTCAGTATCTCAGCTTGAACCTGTTCCCCCAAGTAGGGCTAAACCTGTTACGGTAATTTCTATGCTTTCTGGCACCAAACAGCTAATCCCGAAAGTTTCACAGGGGATGAGTGTCGTTAGGGCCCACAACGGCCCCACAAACCTTACTGCTTTTCCCATAGTGTCTGCTCCTTTTCCAGCGTTAGAAACTCCTATTGTCACAGTGTACAATGCAAATCCGATTCCGCCTGTGGCGGCTGTGCCAGTAGTAGGACAAAATATGGTCCCACAAAGAAATGCTGAAGTAACTTCTCACATTGAAAGTCAATCCTCACCTATTGCCCCAGAAGTTTCAACACCGTCTACTGCTCCTGATCTGCCCAGTAAGCCTATTCAGCTTTCAGCGATTTCGTCTGGGACTACCGTTTCGCCCGTTAGTCTGAAACAGCTCATTCCGACTGACTCTGCAAGGCCCGTGTCTGCCCCCGCACTTAAAATAGATATACAACACCCCGTTGGGACATCCGCGGCTTCACCTCCCCCCCTCAGATCACCTGCGGTAACGCCGTCCCCCAACGGAAATTCATTTAGTTTCATGCGACTCGGCGGCTATGGCTTTGATACCGGCGATATACCGGAAACGTACCAGCTGGCTCCAGCTAAAGAGATGTTACCTGAATTGGTGCCGGCAGGAGTACGAGTACGAACAAAATCCGGCATAATTACATCTGTGCGAGGCAAACCAGGCCTATATGGCATTCACCCTACTCCACCTCCGGATCCCACTCATGCTAAACTTCGTCCAGTGCAACCTCCCGAAATCGTCTACCTGAACCAACCACCCAAAACTGTTCCTTCACAGCCAGGCCATGCAATTAGTGAAGCGCCCGTTCCAAGAGTACAAACAGCTGTTCCCGTTGCGCCGGTAAACCCGCTCATTGTTCAACAGATTCCAGTTCCTGTACTTGCTATTCAGCCACCCAAAGCCTTTAAAGTTTCACGTTTAGTACCTGCAAGTCAATCAGCTGTCAATTTAACTACAAAACTCGCTTACCAAGAACCGGTTAGGCCTCTTTTGCCCGGAAGACAAGCAACTGTCTCGTCCATTCACGATACGTCTTCTGCTAATGAATCTCAACGAGTTAGCCCTATTCAAACCTTCGGAGCTAGTCCCGCAAAACATTTGATTGCCGGCCTTAAATTTGCTCCTAATTACCAACAAGCAAACGACGCCAAATTGCCTTCACTTAGGCCGCATGCTAATATCTCACTCGATTCAAGCCTTCCGCTCCAACAAGTAAGCACAGGTGATGATGTTCCACTGACGCCTATCACAATTTCGGCTTTGCGCTCTGGCTCTGCGGAACAAGTTACCGGTCCCGACTCTAACGTAAAGCTGGTTACACCAGCTACTCCACAAGTTAGTACGTCTCCTTTGACCAGAAAAGATATTGGCCCGAAGCCTTCTTATGTGTCTTCGATCCGCGAGCCTGATCAAGAGACAAAAACACCTATACATGTTATTCAATCACCTGTTCTCACTCAAGTGTCACGCCCGGCTCCTATCGAAGAGTTTTTTGGCCGTCCTAGATCGAATCCTAAATACCAACAGATTGCAATCAGTCCGACCAGTGGAACAACAATATCATCCGCCCGCCCCGTTTCTTCCCTTAGATTTCCGCAGTCACAGTCTACATTAAATACCATGCCCGGGCTCCAATCTCCACCCTCCATTCAGGTATCGCGACCAACACAGTTGTACCAAGTCCCTAAAATTACAGAACCCAAACCGACGCTACCTTTACCTGGGCAAATTGTGTCTGGCATACCTATAAATGTGATACCATCAGGACGCACAGTTCAACCATCCCGTCGCCGAAGACCCGCTTACAAACCATTAGTTCAAAGCTCAATCACACTTTCTGAAAAAAACCCTAAACTCAAGACAGTTGCTGCGGTTGACTCAGTTTCTCCGCCTAATCCTCAAGTCACTTCTTCGGCTTACCGTCAAGCTTCGACTCGACTTCAGATGCCTACTGTGAGTTCAGTTAAACCAATTCGAACTGGCTATGTTGCCCCCGTCCCTCAAGTTATTCAGACAGTACCGCACACAACTATTTCGATTTCTAACAGACCCACCCCTGACGTTCCGTTGTCTACGCCTCGATTCGGCCAACGAATTCGGCCATTTACGTATGCTGCAGCTGGTCCTGTATCTCCTGCAACTACAGTCAACGCAGAAGCACCTCTTCAGGGACCAGTCGACGCTGGCAGGAAACCTACCCAGCCAAATAGCATATCACGACAAGTGGCTGATCGAGTACCAATAGTATCTGTTATTAATGAGCTACCTTCCAGTCAAAGAGCTTCGCAAAGGTCAACATTTCAGGCATCAGCCCAACGTCGTCCTCTAAATTCAGCCGCAATTAGTCCTAAAACAATCGTAACAAGCTTTGAAACTCCACAATTTGCCACTGCCGTTCCATCTTCCATTACAACTCACGACAAACCTTTCACAGTCGACTCAACTCTACCAACGTTAACTGTCCCGCCACTTCAATCCGTTCACGAGCCGTTAACGCTGCTTTACGAAACCCTAGGACCTAACCAAAATGTAAACTCCCATATCGATGTCCAACCTGTGATCACTATTCAGCTTAGCCGGCCGAAAGAGAGATTTAGAGTTCCATCGAAGACAGCCTATACGACAAATAATACGTCAACTTCTCAATTAGAACCAGAAAAAAATTTGTTTAGCCCAATCGGGCCAGACAGTCCTGATCGCTATAATGGTCTTAAGCCCCGTTCTGATACCCGACCAGCGATAATTGCTCCGCTTAGCCACCCTATACAAAGGATTAGCATCCCATTAAAGCCTGCTCACAAAGCGTCACGTGTTCTTTTGGAGGCAGGTAGCCCTTCTAGCGGACGCCTGCCTACTCCGATTGAGGCTGTAGGCCCTGGCCGCATTAATGCTTTTACGCCACTCCTTAATATTCAGTCGGCGGATTCCGTACCCCTTAATCCGCAAATAGAAAGAGATAGCGTCCCGGCTACGTTTACCTATAACGCTCCTCATACGCTTCAGCAGCCAGCGCGTCCGATCAGCCGACTTCCATATACTGAAACAAGTGAACTAACATCTACCCGGTATACGGATTCCAACTCGCGGGAACTTCTTGAGTCTCAAACACCTAGAGATTCCCAAGCAGTTCACATATCTGGTCAAAATAAGCCGATATCTCCCCTGGTTTCACATCTTACTAGCAAAAATATACAATCATCTAAACCTGTTGCCCTTACTTCTTCCGTTGAGCGGACTTCACCGACAAACGGAAACTCTTTCAGTTTTATGCGAATCGGAGGATATGGATTTGACCATGGGGAGATACCTAAAGCTTACCAAATAGCCCCGGCCAAAGAAATGCTACCAGAACTGGTGCCAGCAGGGGTGCGTGTGCGCACCAAATCTGGCGTCATTAGCTCGGTGCGTGGAACACCTGGCCTCTATGGCATTCACCCAACACCTCCACCAGACCCAACCCATCATAAAAAACCAGCTCCTGCTCCACAAATCGTTTACCTCAAAGAAACACAAGAAGGTCCGTCTTCCACGAGTCGTCCCTTCTTACAGACAACCCACAGGGGAGCCCCTGCACCTACGGCGCCGACAGGGGTCGCGCGAACAATTACAGCTCAGAACCTTACCGTTCGCCGCCCACCCATACCCACCAGTATGGGTCAGACAAGGATACCTCTTTTTCTTTCGACTTCGCAACCTGCAAATCAACAGACAGATGCTCCGACTTTTTCGTTTGGAGTCCAAGCAAATACCATTCAAGGGTATCCAGTCCCTAGCAGTCTAGACCTGAGCCCTCAGATTAAAGTAACCTTAGCATCGCCTCAACCGCAGGTTGTGCCCCAACAAAGCCCAAATACTATCCCTCCGTCTCCTCATCAAACAATTTCAGCACTACGCCAAACCGCTAATTTGCACAAAGCTTCCTCTAGGCCACAAATCGTGCCATTACGAGCCTCGTCTCCGACGTCAGCACCAGCACTTCCCCACATCGTGCCGGTTTCTGGAGCTCCACACAAACCTTTGGCAGGACCATCAAACGTGTTTTCCCCAACGATATCGCTTAATACGCCCGGAGGTTCAGGCAGTTATGGTAACGATCTCAGCGATTTCGAAGATTTTGAAACACCAACCACTCAGGTTAGTGTACGCGATACGAAGCTTACTGACAAAACACTGCCAGGATTTAACTTTTATAGCAGCTCATACAACTAAATGCCTTTTGATGTATTTCACATTGGATGGTTTTGCACTTAAGTTTCCGTACTAAGTGATTCTTGGTTTTATATCGACCAAACTTTACTTATACAAAGGAAACGCATTTTATACCAGAAAACATATTGCATGAAAAAATCGGTGCCATGTACAAAGAGCAAAAGCCGGCGGTTATGTTATTCAGGCTGCAGGATAGCGAATACCCAACACTGGAGAAAGACCCTGCGGCCGTAACGTATCCGGTCTAAACAAAATAGAGTATGTCTGAGGTGAAGATATCTTGTCTTTGCAGTGTTCGGAACATCATCCTACCATTTCTGTATGAACTTAGGCGCACAAATGAGTAGCGAATTAACTATATGACGTTTAATCGATGTTTAACACGCCCCCTCCGCCTGCATTATCGGTCAAAAGATAAGTGATGAGATACAGGATCCTATTGACAGAACGCATCTTTTTAAATGAATAAATAGGCAGCAAACAAGCTGTCAGAACGTACTGATGTACAATGACCAAGCTTTTGCCATTTCGATATACGAAGAGGAATGGGGGGTTCTGGCCAGGAGGAACTTCTCGCTGCGGAACATAGTGTGGAGTACAAATCGAATAGTATAAATGGGTTAAGAAAGATGTTCTCAGATTAAGATGGATGTTTCGTCCATAGTATTCTAGATTTCAAATCAAATTTACCTGAACATAAACATAGTGTACATCAGAATAAAACACATTTTTGTGCCCCAGAACGCTTACCACTAGGCATAACTTCTCTAGTAGGTACAATACAGTTAACACGATAAACTACAAGTGGGGGTACGAATGAATAGTAATGAGCTATAGATAATAATATTGTTCGGCTTGGTCATCATCATATTGTTGAATTGCACGTATGCCTTTGGTACACATCGTCTTGACAACACCCTGGCTGAATAATTCTATACTTTATCAAATAGACCAATACATTTCAATAAATTTGTGTCATTTATGCCGATTAAATAGTATCCATACACTATATATATTACGTCGACTATCTTAACTGCTCGTGAGTCTGCCTTATGTAATTTCCTCTTTTCTCCTCATTACCTTTCAAGGAAGGCTGAAGCCTTTTTTCACACTTCATGTTTGATCGCATGCCTGAACAATTTGTTCAATGGGCCTCCCTTGGCAGGCCCTTCGTTTTGCCACTGCCTACAAATACCTAAGCAAGTGTTGCGAACTGTGGAAACAGACGTCGGATAGGTAATTGTCTAGATTTATTATGACTAGAACGAATCGGCAACCTTCGTTCGTTTGTGCTATCTCGCAGATGCAGTAATAAATGTAAGTTTTGCAATAGGTTGTTTTGGAGGAAAGTGAGCAATGCCAATAACAACAATACGCACATAGAGTTTTAGCAGTCTTCAGCCTATCGGCAGACTTCCTTCCCCAGGTATTGTTTATTGCATTAACGTATATGTGCAATAATAATAATAGATAGTATATGTTTCAGTTGACGCTATTAAGCATTGCCTCAGACAGAGCAATTAGCAAAAAACGACGTGGTTGTTGCAGCTTTCTTCGTCTGATCATGATGAACGTAAAGAAAAAAAGCCCCATCATTAGTTTTGTACAACTAATAGGCAAGCATACTTGTTATCATCTGGCGATACAAGCTACAATTCGGTAACTCAAACATTTGGGGCATTCCGTACCTCCAGTACTGCGCTTCTTCTATCAAGAATCCCCTACATTCTTCTTCCTGTTACGAAGACCTACGTCAGGTCCTAAAATGGCGACTACGCCAGACCAACTTTCCTTTCACATAATACACACATTCTTTTTTCTGGCCTGAGACAAATCAAAAGTTGACGTTGTATTTCCTGTAGTATAAGAACGAGGCTCGGTCACTTTTATGCGAGCAACCGCGAACACGAGCGACATCCACTACTTTTTCGCTGCCGACGTTTCCATCAGAAACTATCTGACAATCGTGAACGTTCGAATGGTGCACAACATGGTAATGAGCTGGATGTCTTTCATTCTGATAAGTTGTTTTTAAAATTGCATCTTGGTTATCCAGTGAAATATTAGGGGGTGGGTTGTTTCTAGCCATGATAGGCAAAGGAAAGCCAGGCAAAGAAAAACCAAATGATTTCCTCCCAAATGATTTGAATATTACAAATATTGTTACCCGACATGAGCTACAGCGTTTTTAAGACGCCTATCTATCTCTATAAGGTCAATTTTCTGCTGACGCGATCCTCAAAAGGCATGTCAACTCCAACCTACACCAATGTTATGCGAAAGAAGATGTAGTGGGATAAATAAATTGGCCTAAATTTTCCCATAAATCTGGTACATAAATTGGTTGAATCTTTATTACATTAAAAATTAGTATGTATGTGTATATATGTAGACATTAAGAATATGTGCGATGGTTGCAGGCAGTGCCAATCGACAAAATAGCCCAAGTAGCCTCCAGTTCAAGGTCTATCAGGTCCATCGCAACCTCGGGTGAGTAGAACCTTTAAATGACATCTATCACAATTGCATTTTTGTATCTATATCACTTCCAGTTATGTACAGTTCTTTTTGTTTACTTTGAAGGCTCCTTTGGAGCAATTACGAGTTGATTTATAGCGAAGAGAAATATAATAGTAAACCATGTCACTTCTCAAATTTAGATAGTGATTATCTATAGATACTACTTAAAGTGTATTTCTGAGATATGTACATATCATTGCTATGTTCCATATAGAAAAAAAAATACATTGCTTATTGCACGTCGCTTTGGCTGTACTTCCACGGCAAGTATCGTTCGGGCGTATGACCAGAGGCTAATCAATCACTCTTGAAGTTTGGAAAAACTTTTAGAAATATTAGTGATTCCGCGTTCGGCATTAGACCCGCGTATCAATCTTGCGAAGCCCAGTTTCTTTGTCATATGGCACTCCATGTGAGAATTGTTCCAGCGAGCTCAAATGCTTGCTTGATCAATTTGAAGAATTCTGTTAAATGCGTGAGGATACTGCTATCGATTTATGTACCACAATCAGTCCTGTTCTGTATTGACCGATTCTGCGGAAGTGGACCTTTCGTTTATAAAACCATGTTGATCATTGTTTATTGAACCCTTCAGTGCATTAAGGCTGAAAGTATTATTTTAATCATCATAAAAGTAAAAGCAGTTACGAACAGAGAGCCTCTTCATACTTACAGCATAATGTACAATAACACAGGAAAGTTGTAGCAGTGCATGCTTTTTTACATGACCGGAGGCATGTCATCAGGAATCAGACTACACCACCTGTGCAGAAAAAATGTGATTAATGTTGAAGGATGATAGAAAGCATCGACAGTATTATTTGACGAACTTATATTCATTTTAAGTTGGTAAGTATATACTAGCTAAATGTTCCTACAAGTCAGATCGATTTGAGGCGTATCAAAGACTCAATACTGTTAACCCTGTTATGACGTTATCGTTTGCATCTCGTTGTCAGGAGCACGACGAGTCAAAAAAAAAAAAGAGCTAGAATTTCGATCGTGGTAACCGGTTACTGTGCAAAGCCAATGATGGAAGTCACGAGCTGAAAATCTAGTGGCTATGTAGCTGTTCTCTACGTATTTTTCCATCACGGCAACTAACTGGGTTCGTATTCGAATTAATATCGAAGGATTTTATGAACTATCGCTATCTGAGTGTCTCGAGCGCTACGTGCTCTTTGCGGAGCACTACAGTAAATAGCGGCGTTCGAAAGCAGATAAGAGCCGAAGATCTTTTCTCGAAAGACAGGTTTGCCCTTGTCCGCAGATACATGCTGCGTGACTAGCAGCTTCTCCCAATGTGACCAAGTGTTGTACGATGTTGTTGGTGCTATCTTTACCGGAAAGAGGCTGGGTACTATTTTCAGGAAGGGGCCTTGTGGGCTGCGTATTGATCCGGGACACATCATGTAACTCCCATACACGATCTGAGCAGACGGTTTAAGTACTAATAATATCGTACGGAGTGCATATTTTATAGGTTTATGCAAAGTATCGAGATTGAATTGATTGTTTCTTCGCCTGCTCCGCTTAGGTCGTTAATATTTGATGACGTATTAGAGTATTCTATTATTTTTACTGCTTGTATGTGGAGGAGCCCTGTTTACCTATCCCATATGCCTTGGTTAGATATTTTCGATGACACTTTGAATCGCCAAAATTGCTCATCGTTCGAATAGAGGCGCCCAATTTAAAACAATAACTCAATGAAGCATAACAGTCTACACTACTTTCACACGGGAAAAAATACGTCTGAAACTCATCAGTTACTTTTCCTTTAGCGATTGAAAGATATTGACCACGGTGTCCGTCGTAAAGTATCGAACAGGCACATTTATTTTATGATACCTAAACGAAATTGAGTATTATTAGATTGATATCGCGCCGCGCCCATTATGCTACTGGTTCATTCACCTTTACACTCCGACAAGGATAAGAAACCTGATAGCTTGTGACACAGTATGGTTGGAAATTAGGTTCCAAAACATAGCTTTAATACATCGAACCTAACGCTCGGACACAGGCCAACAGTTATTTCGTCGCATATAGAATTAATATAATCACAACACAGGTTTTCGTCACACTTCCTGCATCGCACTATGTACGTTGTGACTTCGGAAGGCACCATTCTGATAGCTTAAAAAAATGGTGTTCTATCACGAACAAATGTCGCTAGTCTGAATCGTTTCATATTATACACTAAGGCTGAACTAAAAATCATTTTTACCGCTGCAAAAAACCCAATGGCTTGAACGCGTGTTTTACGTTGTGTTAGTTGGCATATGGCTAGTGACATTATAATTTTGTTGAACATAGAGCCCGGCAGTGTGTAACAAGACATGCAACTTCAACGCAGCTTAGCCAGCCGTCTTCGTTTCTATTTTATGCTTTTTCTTATTCTAGTATTTCTATTTCCTATATTTTAGTGGATAAGAAATATCTCGCCTTGGCAGCCGTTTATCCCGCTTTTGTTCGTTTGTGGAGAAGTGCTTTTTTGTGAGAAATATCTCCGTGAAGCTGTTTCAAGCAGATGTCCATCTGCAACACTGCTATCACCAGGACGCCCAAATAAAACACTGCCGTCCCAACGCGACCATTTCCCAAGGCATTTGGCTTGCATAGACACACATCGACCCTTAGTAGTATTGTGGACAAGTTGTTAACAACTAACAGCGTTTATCGAACGCGACTTTCAACTATCTGTGGTCGGTACGACCTCATAGCAAGGTAACAAAGAAAAAAAGTGATCGAATTTAAAAAAATCTAACCTGCAAGAGTATTGAAACGGTTATTGTGTGCCCATGTCCGCTAAGCGCCTGAGGTGTTCACGTATCTTTTCACCCTATTGGCATACGCTACTAAGAGAGATTGCTCCGGCCTCGAACTCACAAGCTGGAAAAAGACATTTTACGACCGATTTTAGCTGCTGGTATGTCAGTTAGGCCTAAACTAGGAACTTCCCACCAATATGCGCAACACCAGCAAGAGGTCATAGTCGACGCTGATGAACAAGCGTTACCAACTGAACGCAGTACCTGTCAGGTATTATTACGCTTGTATGGTTGATTTTAATTACGCGAACAGTGCTAGTGGTTCTGCTTACAAATTTTGTGGTGACTTCGTTACGGCATGATAGCCTTTATCATGACACACATAGAAAAGCAATAGAATAACTGCGAGAAGAAGCCGTTATCAGACAGATGCTGAACATCACAGAGAATAGTGATATCGTATATTGTGTAATAGAAGCGATTGCGGGTGGCCATCGTTTTTATTACTGGGGAATGATCTTGCGCATTTCGCAGATTACGACGTTTTCTGTACGATGCGCGTGTATAACGTTCTATATTCGCAATGGCAAAACTGCTACAGACGACGTGGAAGTTCGCTAGATAATACGGACGAAATGATATTGCAACAAAGACCTATTGTCTGCCGTAGTCCTTAAGATATGGTAATCTTTATATTTTTTAAGTAGCAGCTGGCAAGAGGCTAGATGAACGTAAAATGCTTGACTCTCTGCCTGCCGTACTCCGCTATCTGCTGTAAAGAAAGATACGTTCGGATGATAGGCTTCAATAGACGAATGTAATTATCGACGACCACAACGCTTGTCCTATGGGACGTTTGAAGATAGGGATAATGCTAAGGACGAAAATAGCTCAATATTATTCGCATTGTTGACCTACGTCACAGTAAGGTGCAATTTGGCTGTTTATGTACTAATAGTGCAATTCACCTAATACTGTAGACTTATTTTCTAATTAGTTCTTAATCAGTCATATATTCATTCAGATGTGAAAAATATCTCACACGTAAACGGTGCATTACCCGTTTAAAGGTTGAACAGTATTAACCCGATTGTTTTTATCGTCAGCCTCAGAAACATCGACTAAACTGTTGTTTAATTAGCGCGTGAATACGTAACACATTTATAGTCATCGGTGATGTATTAGTTTCTGTTAATCGAAGTATCGTTTCACCCTTTCCATCGCTATTCCACGGTCATAGCAGACGACTAGTACTACTAACGCCATTAATAATAACAAGAAAATATGAATTATTGGCTGACAGCTTTAGCCACCCCATCATGCTAAACAAAATGATCGACAGACACAAAACCGCTACTGATTACGCTAGTGAGACCAGTTTTAAATGGCGTTGATTCTTTCGTAAAGCTAACCATGGCAGAGACCGGAAATTCGTTTTCGAATATCAGGTATTGCTCGATGTCTTTACACCAAAAACATCATACACAGCATTTCTAACACCCTTCGTTACCTAAAGCTGATAGCTTACAAACCCTATACTATTTTCGAAATAATCTGTCGAAGTCTACTATACGCCGACGCGGAAAATCCGCAACAAAAGGTCATTCAAGGCAGCGAATAGTCCCTTAGAAAAGAGCAAGCATGCATATTCAATAGAACTCGCATCTCGGTTTGAAACTGGATCCTTTGCATTCTAAAAAAAATAGCTAAATTAAAAAAAATACACCCTAAGAATATGAAGGCCAAAGACTCTGGCGACAGATTTTTAATTTTGCCCTAACGAAGAAATATTTGCCACTAATGCAAAAAAAATGTTCTGATTATTAATTTTTCCACTATCTTGATGATGTGCTGCTTTGTTTTTTGTTTATTTAACAAATGTTTTCAATCGTGAACATATTTTAAAGAGCACAGACTGGAGAGATCTGCGTGACAGTGCGGCAGTAACATGTTTTCCAATTAAACTAGATTCAGATCCGAACGTAGACACATATTGCTTCGTGCTGGTAGCCAAAATATTTATTTACTTAAACAACATTGTATTGAACGGAAAATGATACGTTTCAAAAATTAACGTAAAACCGCCATTGGTTTTCTGATCATTTGTGCCGCTTGCGAAGATGGGCCACAGGACAGCGTAAAAAACGGGTTGTATGTGACGTGTTTCCGGGAGACTTCAGCCAATCTCACCATATCAACAAGTTTGAAAATACCGTGTAGCAAATTTAAGTCCGGATTCAAACGAATGAGATTCACGTTACTGTCGTTATCAATTTATACGTAATTATGTTAGTTATTTAATGATGCGTGACTCCAACACTAAGTAGATGCCGGATTGCTGATATTAAAAAGTCATTTATTAAAACATATAGCTAAGCCTCTATTGACAATTGAGTCTGGGACCTCATAGACATGAGTCGGTGTTCGTCTTATACGGTCACCGTACTTGTATACTATATAATATATATGAGGATAATAAGCGAGAAATTAACTTGTGGCTGAGCCCCCAAGTGGTATTATTATTTACCCTCGAATTTCTGTTGCGTCAGTTTGCAAAAAACAATTATTGTTTCATTTACGAAAGTCTATGTGGACAGTGCTTGGTGGCACCCATTAACATTTGTACTATGCACCACTGTGACACTTATCGTCTGCTAGAAAGGCTTTTCTTAGATTCAAATTAGGTCTAATTGTTTTTAATGAAGCAAGGAAGACCGCGAGAGTTTAGCAGAATCGAAAAAATAGTCCACTGCAGGCCTCTAATTTTGCAATGCGAAAGTATTGTTGTCTTTGTTGAGCAATCGGAGGTACGATGTGTTTTCGTTATGGTTTCCACTAGCAACTAACTTAACAAAATAATTTTAATCACAAAATCTACTGCATTTATCGAATGTGCTAATTGCCTATGCCTGTCTCTACATTACAGGTAATGTCGCTATCTTCTTTACAGATTGCCAGCACCACCAATATAATAGAAAATGTAAAGAAATTACTGGTGCTTCCAGTTATCAATAGAACGAAAATTTATTATAGCACCAACATGGAACCGCAACCGGTGCGGGTATTCATAGTTCTATTCTTTTATCATCACAGCCTCTATCGTAGGTATCATCTAAAACCGTGGCCGTCTTTTCATCATATAAAGAAGCAGCAAAATACTTTGCATCTTGATGGCTGCGATGTGGTCGGCGCGCCATTCATGGCAATGGCAGTGTCTCCTGACCCCGCAGCTGGTTCAAGGTCGTCCGAACGACAGCAGATGCCAACTAAACGGCGCTCATCATCATTGGTAGCCTCGTTGTTCCAACCATAATGAGGGCAATATGGCATTAGATGTGCCATTATGCTGTGCAGTCGTTCTAGTGAGTGAAGATACGCTGATATTCGGGACTACGGTAGAGCCACGTGCCGGCAGCAGTATGGAAAACATAGTACCCAACCTCCGTAAACCCCCTGCGCTTGTCGTATTGAAATTTTGCCTTGCCTGCCAAATGACTGACAAGAGACAACTGATATTACCAGGAAGAAACGATTGAGCATAATTGCAGTCACCCAAGAAATGGGCCGATCGTGCACAAACATACGTATTGTATGTCTGTTATTTTAGCAGCTGTTGTGGAAGGGTGTTTAGGACGCTGGCCTCTTCATTTCTGACCCCAGTCTCCACTGTAATATCTAATCAGCCTTGAATATTATTCAAAAAGCTACAGACCAAAGTGTGTCGCTTTTGAAAATAATAATAATTCGTCTGAATTTTTTGTTACGCTTAAATTATCCTTATCATATGGTTTATTATGGGATGATGATGTTTATTTTAAAGTAGAAAAGAATGAGCGAATATGTCGTCAGAGGACGGCAATCCTAACTTGAAATTCAAAGGCCCATTAGGGTAGTTCGATCGCTGTCGTCAGATTCCTCAAAAATTATTCGTTAGTTTTTAACAGTATTCCTAAGAAACGTAATACCATAAATATCTCGTCATTTGGATTTTTCTTAGTGGCTATATAATAAAGAGAAAAAATCTACAGCGTGATCATCGCTAGAAACCGATCTATCAAACGGGAATACATGGGGTCTTTTGCCTCATTCAGTCTCATCAGGCCGCATCGCTGCGCCGATAGTGGCAAGTAGGACCGCTTTACTGAAATAGAATTTGTCTATTTTTTTTTTTATTTAACGTTTTATTGAAACAGCTTTGGCTACAAAACGTCCTTCAACATATTTCTGTGAGCATCGTCGACGCTTGAAAGAGAAAAGTAGCTTCGCTCGTGCGAATGGTCTGTACCATATAGTCATATTCGGCTCCTAATGTTCTTGTTTATGAATGACGTACAGGTTTTAACATGCCTGTATAATTTGAAGTGTTTAAGTACAAATAGTCAGAAAAAACTAAGCAGGCTAATTGTGCAATGCTTGATAAGATCTTAAAAATCGAATCTTCGATGAATCGCTGCCGAGGAGCAAATTGATGAATTCAACTTCGCAAGGATGGAACTTTCGATGGCCCTTAGTATAAAAAGGATATATGTACATTTTTTCCTGCCCCGAATTTCTGCCACCGTAGCGGCACTACGCGTGCGTATTAAGCGGTCGATCCTAATATTTCTGTCAATTGTCAATTGTGGCCCCTAAAAGTTTGAAAAGAATATTGGAATGTTCTGTACTAAACATACTGATTACTATAAAATCCATCTAGCTAAACCAATAGCGATGTTCGTCCTAAAACCGGCTGTTGAAATTATCTGGATGTCAAATACGGCTTGGCAGGGGCACATCCTCCTAAAGCAGCGAGTACGAAGGGAAAATTTATTCAATTTTTCTCATTAAGCCTCTTTTCGAAATACCGTATATAGTTGTGGGTTCGAAACGGCGACTGGAACCTTTAAGACAAAACACTGATTAACAAACCTAAATTCGTCTTTCGAGCGCAGATCCGGCCACAGTTTCCCGCAGGAAAGTCGAAATGACATACCCGTAGGTTCACCTGATGGCAACAACGAAGCTGTTAATGTGTTCATTGGAGGCTTAAGTGAAGGTAAGAACTTTATCGTAGCCACAATTTTACTAAATAGTTCACCTACAAGAATGTATAATATAGTCCTGTACTCGAGATATGAGTCGTTAATATCAATGTCAAATGTAAGTTCTATGCCAAGAAGATGTGTCTGTCATTCCGCACGTCACCTAACTAAACAAGGGATTAGTCGTATCTAGTTTAGTGTTTCTCTATTCTACCCTTTCGCTTTCTCTCTCTCTCTCTCTCTCTACTCTAACGACGTACTATATAATGTTGCTTTATTGGCACATACGGTACATAATGCGCGAGCTATGGCATGGTGCTGCTTTGGAGAATCACGCAGTTATAAGGTGTTTGCCCACTAAACTTAGTAGTAAGTTCGAGTACAGGTGTAGACATAGTCCGTTTCGTGAAGCCAATCTGAAGTAACGCTGAAACAAACAAACAAAACAAAAGTGAATAAAAAAAAAATCAAATTCAAAAACAATTACACTACTCTTGTGATTAATAATCGGCGAGAGTAAATCGTTAGCCTTGACTCGCAAAAGGTCGAAGGTTGTTGTGTGATACAATACACATTAATGACAAACGGGGTTCTCAACGATAATATTAAAATATATTTCCATGAAAGCAGTGGCCAAACAGAGATGAATCAATTTAAATAATGTGCAAAAGATATAGATGTAGTATGCCTGAAATGGGGAGAGTTTGAATTATGTTACTTAAATAAATTGGTCATCTGAGTTGTTTGAGAACTCGCGTTAAAGCTGGGATTCGTTCCATTATTTGTCCTTAAAAATAGTTCCTATATCTTTCGATGGCTCGACTGTGGGCGTCCCTAGTTTGGGAAGAGAGCCGATCCTGTTGTACCGGCGAATCGTGTTTCTTCTCGCGGAGAACCCTGAGTTATACCAGCTGCGTTTGAAGAACTGGAATTTTGCTAATAAATAACTGGGAATCGATGCGCAAATCTTTTTTTGTAACGTGGAACTGAAATCCCTCTATGACGTTTTCTCTGCTGTTGCTTTAGGACAAAGCCGGATGTAGGCACACTTCGTTTCGTCTGGGAGCCAGTCGTCTGAAGCAGTTCTTAATGGCAGGACGGGCAGTAAACATTTTCTTGTTGTTTCAGGATGATAATGCTTACTGTATAATAAATGTGTCTGTAAAAATTTGGTTACTCATAATATGTTTTGTATCTTATAGGTAAATTGAAGAAGAAGTATTCTAGATAAAATTATTCTATAATGAGGCTAAAAACCTATTTTTGACTATTTTGAAATTATGTTCACGTATTTACGGGTATGGAGAAAAGGCGGACATAATAAAAAAAAGTTTGTTCAACTTTTTCGAGTTAACGAGTTAAGCTCATCTGCAATTTAATTCAAGCAAACGTTTTGCAAAATCTTAATTTCTGTTACGAGTATGGCAAGCTGCAGCTGATAAATTAAAATGCAAAAAATTGATTGTCAAATTAAACAATATTAAGTGTCACATATTCCATATGGTTATAAAGATACATTTATCTACAGCATGGATCGAAATCGGAGCTATGAATAGGCGGTGTCGACCTTTTTTGTCTTAATCTATAAAAAAAAATCCTGCAGTTGAAACTTAGTGCGTTAGTGACCGAATGCGCATTTCTACGAGACTTCCGAGCATATGAATAGGAGAGCGCTGGCAGTTGTAAATTTTCTTTTATTTTCATAACCTTATTTTAGAAAAGGTCGTAAACATATATTCTAAATCTCTGGGGCTGATTTTTTCTAGGTAGTTGATGCACGATTTTTTCTACTGAGCTTCGCTGCGGAAACCTGTTAGGAGCTTTTTGCCGAAATGTCCTCTTATCCTTTTTTGTGTTCGTCAAGATAGGATTATCGGGCACTACAGGTAATGTTAATCCTGCGGCCTGAATCATTGAAGTCAACTTTTAAAATAATACCTGAGAACATACGAAACCGAAGCGTTGCGCTTTTAGATGGTGCCGAATCATGAAAAAAGTAAGGGTGTATACAATCGTTAATTCAGACTTCTAACCCTAGAAATGCAGAAGGGGAAGAGCTTTCAGAAATGTAAAACGGAGCGGCAAGAGCCCATGTGCCAGCAATGCTTAGGCTTCGTGTGGTTGATAGTTTACAGTCATGCGCGTAGGGCTAAAAAAGCTTGAAAGAGCTCAAGGACAAAGGGCCCTCTGATAGCTACTAAGCGCTAGTGCAAAAGCGAACATGATCCCCGGCATCAGGCTTTGTACTTACGCAGGGGTAGCAGATAACCGAGCCTTCTGTAATCAGTACATCAGCTATTATTCCTCTCTAATAACCGGCTACCAGTGCGACTGGACAGCGGCACTATTATGGAATTGTTGGTTGTTCCATTAAATCATACATGGTTGAGCAAATAAATGGGGATCTGATAGGCTGTCATTCTGCACAGAAATAGCAATCCCCACGATAAACCTATTTCCGGATTTTGGCCGTTTTCACTAAGCAAGAACATTTGTGTTTCTACTTTCCGTTAAGCTCTTCAGGCCCCTATATCGCCCTTGTCTCATATATTATTTGCATTTTTAGAATGATATGTCTTATTATCTGTCCTATATCTTCTTTTTAACAACAACAGCATTTTAAAGAAACGGCGAAATCGGATAATATTATTGTAGGGCGCAGATTGTCTTGCAGAAGTCCATGTTTAAAGGCCCACATACGATATAAATCTGAAATAAAAAAAAAAACAAACATTTTCGCTATGAATTTTTCGATAACCCTGTAAGAAGTAAAGGGTGAAGCCAATAATTCTTCATTTGAATGGTAAACCCTGCTATCTAATGAGTAATAGTTCTACTGTTTAAGTTCAAAAAATTAATAAGCAATACATCGTACTATGTCAACATACTGGCGAATATCAATAGAACTGTCCCTTGAACAAACTTTTAGATGGCTACTCTTAGCTGTCTCTTTCACCAGAAGTCTTGGTTCCGCCGCTTAGCGTCGCTTCAAAGTTTTTGTTCAGATAGGAAGTCCAAAACGAGCAGTTTGGAGGAACGAAGGGGAGAAAAAAACAGAACTATATCTATCGCTTTTCCTATTCCTCGGAGTTTTACTATTCAGTTTATTACTAGAAGGGTGTAATCTATAAGATTCGAATTCAGGCCACCTCTGTATTCCTCTGATTTGTAAACAAGCTTAGTATCACTGCACCATCGCTAATACAAGGTGCCTATGGGGAGTTGAAAAAAGCAGCACATCGAAATCTATTTATGTATCCCAACGGTGCTTGTCTCAATAAAACAATATGTCGCAAGTTCCTTGCTGCGGTTGGATCAGAAATCGCCATTGACTATCGAGAACTATTGGGCGGCGAGCATATAAGAATGTTCGCCCGCTATTGAGCCTAAAGGTTTTCCCTTGGTTGACCCTCGACAGGGATACTTCATAGCTTCGGGCTCCTAAGACTCTTATGGCATGCATCCGTGGGAAGGATCCACGGTGACGTTACTACGCACCCTCCCTACCTGATCTTCTGGTGTTGTTTTCATATTGGAAGCATTTTTTCTCTCTTCGGAGGCTCACCGTCCACCACATCAGTATGTTAAGTAGGCGTCTCCTTTTCCTCGTCAGACCTCTATCAACTTGATATCTAAGGCTCTACCTTTAAGCTTGGGACCTAGGACTATGTCGCTAATTTTGAAAATGGTTGGCCAAACGAATATCTGCGCATGCCAGTTGAATACAACTACACCTCGTTTATAAAATTCATACTGGAAATGTTCGTATGCGTATGTGACAATTATGGTTTTGGTGTCGCTGTTTCAAGCAGCCCTTCGGCTACATTTTAGATTAACTGTAACAGATCAGCCTTCTATGATAATTGCATTTGTGTGTATCATTGATTGTTAGAAAAATTCTGCCAAAAAAGCGTGAACGGAGGAAATGCGAACCACGAAGAGCCTTTCGTTGTTACAGCCGTATTCAGTTCAGGGCTTTTATACGCTACGCCTACTTACGATCTTACTCAAGCATTCTGTTGAACAATATAATACATGCTTGATTGCAGCCCGCTCGAATACTACCAATATGAGCCGTCAGTAACGTGTTTGATAAAAACTTGCACATACATTTACTATTATTTATAATATTAATTTTCCTTTCATAGGTCAATACGATTTTGGCCATTGGTGCACCCACGGTGATGGGTACATCATCATTAAATTAGGAGTTTTCTTGAACTCACAACAAAACTACAATTCCGGTAGAATTGCCGAGCCCATCCCAATGTAATGCAATAATAGTAACGACTAAATAATCACATTAAACCCCCACAAACTTTCGCTAAAATATATTATCGCGTTGAACTCAGCTGCTACTACTTAGTTATTCGATAACCCATTTTTTTCCTCCATATTCCTTCCATAATTTCTTATCCTCTTCTTTTAGCCACTCGAAATAAATTATATCAAGAGCTTTTTTGGCAGGTAAAACATAACGTCTGTTCGAATGCGTCTCACAGGATTGAAAGCAGGGATCCTTTAGTGTTGAGTTTCTGCTTTTGAAGATTTTTATCTAGCCCGTTGAGCATCTGACAGAATTTCAAACATTTATGTTAAATTAAAAATAAAAAGAGATGTTCAATGAAATGATTATGTGGCAGACATTGCTTAGTTATCTCCTTAACCATTATTACCCGTGCGTTCGATGTGAATGCCTGTAGATTTTATCCACCGTACGGGCATTGTTGTTATTTTTGTCATTCTTCAAAATCTATTTCAGGTCAGAAGAAAAGTCTTGGAAAAAAATATCTAGTGTGCCAAGGCCCAAACAATAATTTCAGTTAGATTCTTAGTCAATGTGAGCAGATGTAGTATGTACGTGTAGAAAATTTTCGTTATCGTTTTGTTTTATAATACTGCGTGCATCGACAATGTATGATTTCACTTCTTGTTCCTGTCGTAAAAAAGACATGCACAAAGCTGCGCTGAAGGCGTAAAAAATTAATTCTAAAAACATTGTTGAAAATGAAATGATTGTATTATATTTCTCTACTAACATATTATCCAGTTAGTTTACGTTTGAGGTAGTCGACGTATGAATCATGAAGCTTGCCTGAGGCTAGATGCAGAATCTCCTCAGACAAGCTTCATGATTTCAACTAATTTAGCGGTGGCGCTTATTTAGAAAAGCTAGTGCTTATCTATTTCGTTTTAAACAATGTTAGTGATCAGCTATGTCTTGCTACCTCTTCTATATATTTGCAAGGTATTTGTAACTATTATTACAGTAGTTCATCATGAAGTGGAAAAATAAAGTTAGAATAGCCAAATTTGAATGTTAAAAGCCAAGTTCAAGAAGACGAAGACGAATTACTGTCTCTACTTAGATCTTTCTATTCTTCGGCGGAATGGTACATTAACATGGATGAATGGAAAGTGGAGGTAAACTCTTTTGTCGAAATTCATTCCGTTTCTATTTATTAAACAGAAGCTGATAAGAAACATTTTGGTGTTGAGCCTTTTACGCAAGGATTCTTGCCAGTCCTTCAAATACTGTATATCAAGCCCACGATACGACTTTCCCTCGCTACGTATCATTCGAGTAATTTGAACAATCGCAAAGATCTGACTATTTTCAAGATTGAATAAGGACCTTTGTAAAGAATCAGCTTTTATCAGAAGCACATTGTAGAAGCACCGCACGCTTGTGCAATGAAGTGTCGTCAAGAGAATTAATGACGAAAAAAATATGATACGAATGATAAGATCAATGGCTGGCTTACCACTGACAAATATATTCGAAACGTACCTTTGGATCTTCGAATGCACCAAGTGAAAGCGCAGGCATCGAAATAAATATAATCTCCTACAGGGGGCTTCCGATAGGCAACGACGAACTTTTGGGTATTGATACCCAAATTATAATGTCGATTACAATTACTGCATTTGATAACGAACTGGAGATCGGAGAATTTATCTCTTGGAAGGCCCAGTGATCTTCGAAGAATGACTCATGACTTTGATTACGTCTCTTGAAAATAGGATTTCTTAGTAGATTAATTAAAACCTGTCTTGCAACGTCTATCAATTGTTATTATAAAGAAACATTTCACTTCATTTTCTCAGTAGATTATATTTCATAAGCACTTGGAGGAAATATACTATATA